GGAAGGTTTCCAGATGGATATGCGGAGCAAATCCATCTGGCGGAGTCAGGTTAATTGGCCTTAGGAAGCGTCCTGGTCCTAGTGATTCTGGGCTACGACCAAGAAGCAGGGCCAGAATTAGTGTCCCTGCTGATTTGCGGTATATGGATGGGGTCTATATCTGTTGTTCTGTCGAGGAAGACCTTTGCAAACCTCACAATAAGCTGAAGAGTGATGCTGTTGAGTATAACAGGTTTCTGAGTGTCTAAACATGATGGATTGTGCCCGCATACATGTGGGTGAAATGAGCTTCATCACCCACACTGAAATAACTCTGCCGTGACGTTGACATGTGATTGTGATCTCTCCTAAATGCACCACCCTTTAGAGGTTTGGTGATCGTCCAGACCAGAAGCTGAACTTAATGGAGGAAATATGTATTGTTTCTAACCTGGAAATTGATAGAAACCCTGATTAGGACTTAGAAAACATCCCTGCTGACAGGATATCTGGTTCCCTCCAGCTTTCTTTACCTCTTATCTTCAGTGATGGATGGATAAAAGGATGGGCTGCATAATTATTTGTTTTATTAAAGTCAATAACCTTGAAGTAATGATTATCATTATATGGATTCGTATGTAGGTATATCTTTCATTTGACACCAAAAAACCACCTCCGTTTTTGAATGAATCCAGATTCTTTACTGTTATTTCACTTCACTGTTTTCACTTTAATTGTTGCTGAAAAAATGAAAGGATGCAGGGGATAATTGTTGCATAATGCCGAGCTGCTACAACCTTATTTCCCTGACTCGCCGAAGCAAAGGAAGTCTGTAGGGGTTCTCTCTCAGATGCATGTTCAGGTTTGTTTCTGACATATAAAAAAATTTAAAAAAAAGACAGGTGAGGTTTGAAATTGGCGGAATGAGATGAACATCCACATATGAGTTAAATCCAAAGTTTGATGGCTTCCATTCTGTAGGAAATCACCAAAGCAAACTAATAAATGCTAAACCTGGATTTACTGAAGAAAATGTAATTTTTTTTACACTTAAATGTTATGTTTCTGTTTAATATTTTTTATTTTGTTGCTTAAATGATAAAATTTAGATGGAACTGCAAATAAAAAGCTTCAAAGCCTATTGATACCGAAAGTAATTAAAAAAGAATAATTATAAACTTCTCATTTCTTCTTTTAATTCAGTCACTTTGTGGTTTTAAGTAAAGGTCAGATTTATAAAGGGTGCAACTTCTACATGTCCGGTCACCTGATTCTCTGCGGCTCCCCCAAAGTCACCAAAGGCTTCTTGGCTTCTTTGATAAATACTTTTCTCTCCTCCTTCTCAGTTTTGGAGGCGCGTCGTACGATTCATGTGTTTGGAATTAAATGTGACTGAAGCAGCCTGTAGAAAAAAAACATGCCCCACTTTTTTGAATTTCATCAGTGGCATTTTTTTTTCACTTTACAATATCATCTATAAGATCAAATAGTAAAAAATGCTTTTAAGTTTCAGACAGAATACAAAAATCCTTGAGGTATATGATCACTTCTGCTATGGCATCGAATAAGATGACTCGGAACAAAAGTGGAGTAATTTTGACTCAAACATGTATTTTTAGGGCAGGAAGAGGCGAATGAGATGAATGTAGTACCGTATTCTGTCCATTGGAGGAGACAAAGGACCTGGAAATTTGGATGGATTTGGGAGAAACGAGGGTATCAATGTGATAGGTCCCCATCGGCAGAGCTGCGCTTCATCGGTCGCTCTCCCTCACCTCTCCCCCTTCCATCCCCGTCTCTCTCTCTCTTTAGCACTCTGCCTCTGTGCTTTGCAGACGCTCGTTCTGCTGCGCTCTTTTTGCTCCATCTCTTCTCTGTGGAGAGCAATGAGTGCAGATTCCATTCACAGTCTGTCTGGCAGCATCTTGATTGGCCAAAACGGGGATGGAGTTGAGGACCTGAGGGACCGAACACCTCTGTAAGGAGCCTGAGGCGGAGAAGGGGTAGAAATTTCAACAGGAAAAGAACCACGTCGGATTTCTTCCAGTGGAGATTATTTTGCATCACAAAACGGGGAGGAAAAAAAAATCAGAGAGAGGACCCTGGTACTCTGAACCGGCTGCACAAGCGGTGCCATTCACTGTGGTAATTTGAGTGATTGTGAGTGCACTCACCTTTTCTGCATGCAGATTCGTGGGATTCTTTTCTAATGCAAATGTAAAGCAGGCTGGTTGCACCGCTGCTTGGATTTGACAGACGTGCTGCAGCCAGTCCCTCTAATTCAGGTTGGCATGATTATAATGAAGTTGATGCATGCTGTTGATTAAATGTGTGCAAAAAACACACAAAACAGATGTTAAATAATTCATGTCTCCTATATGACAGAACTTCCAAACTAGGTTATTTTAGCCTTCTGTCTGAGACTGATGGCTGTGGTTTGTATGTTTTTGTGAGATTTTTTTTTTTTTTGGGGGGGGGTTACTCTGTGGAACCTGGATGCAGAGGATTGGATGGATCTCAGAATTTCTACATCCTCAGAATTTCTACTTCCCCGTCCATCCTTGTCTGTCTTTACTTCTGTTGAGTTAATGAGATTGACAGGTGAGTTTGCATTAAAAGAACCGCCCCCCGTTGCACAGTGATGGGATTTTATGGCTGAAATTTGTTGTGTAAGGGGAAATAATCTAATGTCCATTTTATCTCACCTCGGTTTCCACGTCGCTCCCTTTATCCCTGCGTTATTGTCTGCCCTGCAGAATCCACTGGTTCTAAGTTGTCCATTCACAGAAATGGATGGAAGAGATTTGTTTGGTGAGGGAGAGAAGGACGGATGTTAAACAGCCTCCAGAGGAGTGAAGGAGGGGAATCCATGGGTAATTTAAACACAGACGTCAGTGCACACGTTCCCCAGCTGTCTATGCAATTAACGCCTCCACCAATCCTTGGTTCTTGTTGGACAAATGAGGAACTGGAGCAAAGGGTTTTCATAGGTTTACTAAAGCCTTGCAGAGATCCATGGTGGTGGATCATTGAGGTGTATTCCTGAAGTTGAAGCTTGCAGAAGATGGTGACCATGTGGAGGCTGCATTTGTTGCACGTTTTTCCCTTTCCTCAACACTTTATTTTCTTTTGATATTGCAAAAAGAAATCCAGTTAGCAAAAGAACTAAAACTAGAATAAAAACTTGCAAGTGTTCGTAATCATAATGTAGGCATGTGTGCAGTGCCATAAAGACCTCTTAAAATTTCATATAAATGTGATAAAAAGTGTGGCATGCAAATATATAATCCATTAGTAAATCATGTCTGCAGCAACATAAAGATGAAAGATATCTCTAGAAAACATGAAGTTTAAAACATATAAGGTTAAAAAACCGTATGAAAAGCCTTGAATTCCCACAGAACTATGTTCAAACCATCATCAGAGAATAAACTATTGCACAACTGCAAACCTGCCAAGACATTTGACTTTAACCGACAGGTGGAGCGTTAATCAGAGGAACAGCTATGACCCTAATAGTAATGATAGAGATGCTGCAGAGATCCAATGCTTAGAAGGAAGAGTTGCTCAACTTTGTAAATACTTCTTTTAGATCCCCGGTTATTCTAGTTTTACGTCTTTTTTTGGGGACAGGCTTGATTAGAAGCCACTCTTATGGTACCGATGTTTTCCTTCTAGGGGGCGTCATCGACAAAGACCTCCGCCGCTACCTCAACCTACGTTTCCAGAAAGGCTCAGTGGACCACGAGCTGCAGCAGATCATCCGGGACAACCTGTACCTCCGCACCGTCCCCTGTGAGTTACCCTGTTCCTCCTGCCTCCACCCCGCTTTCCTGAACTTATTGAGACGCACCTTTCTGTTTGCTAAAGCTGGGACATCACTACAGCAACGTGTTGTTAAAATGTGGGTTTGAAGTTGACGTTGGTGGCAGTTTCATTACATCAGAGATTCTAGTTGGCTAATCTTTCTTCTTCTTGCTTCTGGATCAAAAGTTCAACAATTAATGCCTTAAATTGATTGATTTAAGGTTATGATTGAATATTTTTGTCTAAAACAATGTTTTTTCTTATTAGTAATGGCCGCACACTATCACTAGTTTTGTTTTGAAGCTCAAGGAAAGAAGAAACCACTGATATGAGGTGGAGAATTTTGGCCTTTGAGTTGAAGGACAGTCTTAGAGGAGTCCTCCTTATGGGGGGATTACTTTGGTCATTTGTTTCTATCTAAAGAATCGCTGTGCTTCTGGAGGGCTGTTTTATCAAAAAATGAGTTGTGTGTAAGTTGAACTTTAAAATCAAGCATGATCTGTGATTCTTCTTCCCTAATTCGCTGCTTTAAGAGTCTCAAAGGAACTTGCAGTTTTAAAAGTGTCATGTGGACCATCAAAGATAAGATTTGGAGGGCTGTACCTTCAATGCAGGTGTGCAGTTTGGATCAAATGCTGCATGTGTGTGTTTTTCTTTTACCTTTATCAGGTTTATGTTTTGTTGGTGCTTTAAACACAATGCTTTTTGTAAAAAAAAATATATATATATATAAATATATATATGTATATATAGATTAAATATTAATTAGCTCTTTGCAAAGACATATTACACTGTAAAAATGTAAAAAATTGTTTCAAATTTATTTAGTGAGGTGAAAATCACATATTAGGTAAAAATTATATCGAATAAAAACCCCAATGAATTTCAAATTAGGCTCATTATGTAACAGAGGCTTTTTTAATTGACAGTATCAGACCATTCAGAAAGGCTGATCAGTAATCTACGGCTTCTGGATTATTTTTGATGAACTTCTGTTCTGCTTCTTTCAACAAGTCCAAGATAAGGAAACATAATTAAAGGCAAGCCCATGTATTTGATCACCATAGACTGGCCCTTATCTGGTCAATTAAACACATGAAAATAGGAGATGTCTTTTAAATTACAGGGAAATTAGATCCAATATCTTTGGTTTCTCTGACACCAAACAGTCTGGGTGGGTCTGGTTTGAAAAGAAATAACAAATATGTGTAGAAACGGCTCATAACTTCCTTTATGTATGGTGTATGCCCTGGAAACCATATTCTTTGCAAAATCTATGTGTGTAAATGCTATATTTTAGGAAAGTAGAGGATATTTGCCCTTATCCAGGCGTGGAATTAAAAGTCCCATTGGACCCAGCTGTCTGATGGCCAACTCTCCTCTGAATAACTAATGAAGGTGCGTTCTTCAAGCAAGGAGCAGCAAGCAGGTGGATTTCTCTCCAAAGCAGTTTCCTACCTCTCTCACCGAACACATCAGAAGAAGAAAAGGAAAAAAAGTATTTTGGAATTTAAGAATACATCCCTGTGACCTTCTACAAAGCTGCTGCTAGTGAGAACTGAGAGTTTCTCAGATCTGAGGAAGGAAATTAATTTCTTTATGCTGAAAACAGCCTGAATTACCCTGAACATACTAATGAAACACAGTGGTGGCAGTACCATACTGTGGGGATGCCTTTCTTCTGCAGAGATCAGACAGCTTGGTTGGTGAGAATTTGGATGGAGCTGAATGTTTGTGGTGGAAAACCTAACAATACAAACATCACTTCGAACCAAAGCCGTGGGAGAGTTAGTCTGTTTGGCAGAAGTTCTTGGTTGCCCATTCAAAATACAGACAGATCTGTAACAGCAGTGAATTAAAAAAATATGCAAACATTACAAAAAGCTTTCTGATTGTGAGGTTGTGCTCCATATTATAGTTCTGCTCTTAGCCGTGTGATTTTCCCTTTTTTTTTTTTAATCTAGAGCCTGTTTCAGTTATATTCAGATGTTGACATTTTGTTTACATGATCAACGTCTTCTAATGCCATGATCTGCTAACATCTATAGCAATGCTAGCATGAACAGTAACTTCCCTCAAGCTATGGGAGCTTTGTGCGTCGCCATTAGTCTTTGAAAAGTTGCTCATTCTCGTCAATGGAGGTGTCAAAACTCTTACTTACACGGCTTTGCCTTGAACGCACCGTCACCATGGCAACAGCATAATTCCCTTCCTTCATTCTAGTAGTAGTTGCATTATATTTAAGAATGAGGTACCTTCTTACAGGGCAGTAACCTTTAACATACAGCCAGAGTCCCAATGCCCTTATTCATATCAAAGCCCTCAAATGGCCTAGTCAAAGTACAAACCTATATCTACTTTATTTTTCCCAGAAGGACCTTACAATTAAGGGGTGTTAGAATAATTCTATAGGGTATTTGGTGCTGGTCCTTAAGGTCTCTGAATAGGGTGTGTAACATTAGCCTTGTGAGACCATTCTGATCTCGCGAGCTTTCAAGGTTTCACTCGCAAATCAGTCTGGAGACTCTCCGTTGAAGAAAATTTGGAGCCGTTAACCAAACGAACGTCCAATCAGCGTTGGCTTTGAGGCGGGTTGAGGTGTGACGCAACGAGAAGCGCAACAGTTCAGTCTAAAGACCATGGCGGCTTCAGCCGATGAAACTAGCGTTAGCGTGGCTATCGAGCAAGTTTTATCGGAATTACAGAGTATTTCTTCACTGAAAGAAGAGCAAAACACTGCTCTGGAGGCTTTTCTCAGAGGAAAAGATGTTTTTGCTCTTCTCCCGACTGGTTTCGGCAAGAGTTTGATCTATCAATTGGCTCCTCTTCGCCGTCGCTCTGTTAGTATGTCATATGCTTCGTTGATCTGATTGGTTTATTTGGCCCGTCTATCACCAACATAGGCCAATCAGCTAACCAGTATTTCCCCTTCCCAAAATTACTTCAACGGAAGGTTTCCAGATGGATATGCGGAGTCAGGTTAGTGTAACATTGGTTGGGCTGAAAATGGCATATTTGCTGTTCTATGAGCTCTAATATAAGCCTGGTTAAAAGCCCTAGAATGAAGCAACAGGTTTGCTTCCTTTTATGGTATGCTCATGAATATTTAGATGAGCTGTGCTCTGATTGGTTGGTTTACAACAAGCGAAGCTTCTGAGCAAAGACCCATCATAGCAACAAGCACTCATACACTAAAACATCAAATTGTTTATATGGTAAGGTTACCAGACATCCTCTTTTTCCGGGAAACGTCCTACTATTCATACCTAAAAAAAAGTCTGGGGGGGAATTTCAAAACCGTCCAGGATTTTGGTCGACTTCAGTGCAGCAGAACTGAGCCTTGAGCTCCAGGGCAGGTCCGGCCCGTGGGACTGAGAGACCGAACCCGACCCAGAGACGGTAGCCTGGACACCGGCGGCCCCGTCAACCGGGTCAGGTTTGGTTGTTCCGTCCGCGGCTGCAAACCACCAGCAGTTTAACTAAATTTTATTCATGGGTGTGACAGTTAATGGGGTTAATCACATTTGAACACCACAAGCTCCATTTGTATTCACCACTTTCTGATGTTCTATCACTAGTCAGTGGTTATGATGTCACAAAATGTGAAATTGTAATGCACCATTCTATTTTCTTTTTTATCCTTTAGTTTTGCATCATTCATAAGGACGGCACCCGACAACCGAGAAAGCACCTCTGTCAGCTTGATAAAGAAATGGCCACATTTAAGTCCTCTGAGTGATAAATAAAAGGGAGACAAAGGGACATGAACGGAGAAAATTCATGGTGATGGATGTGAAGCAGTTCATCACAGCAATTTAAACATAACCTTTGAGTGGTAAAGAAAAGACATTTTTCTCTGGGCTGAAGGCTGATGCTCAGACAGTGGGAGAGTTACTGCTGCTCATACCAATTGTGACGCCCGGGCAGAGCCGGGGAGGGCCAGCTAAGGCCGTGCCAGCTCTTAGACAAATTGCCTGGTTGAAATCCAAGGTCAAAGCGTTAATAGCCCGAGCCTTGCAAAATCAGGCCTATCGTCTGGTAATCCGCCTAGATTTGATAGGGGAGATAAAGATCGGAGCCCACTCATGATACCTAAGATTGCTACACACCGAGTTACTTAGGTTAATCTGAATTTCGGGGGGAAACGGGTAGTTGGAAGACAGATTTTTATTATCTGACTCCTCACTGTGCTGTAATTTCAGGACTTGACAGCTTTGGAAACTGTTAGTTATCAAACAGAAGGTCAAGAGAGAGAAGGAAAAAACAAACACCTAATGCTCTCCCACATGTTCACTAAAAAATGTGTTCATTTAGTAAAAGCACTTTTGAGCACTCAGTGCTGCATCTTGTCCTTTAAATCTTTGCCTCAGTTTGACCTTTAAAAGCTCTAACCACTATCACCTTGTGCCTTACCAAAATGGGAATGAAAGAAGCTTTAGATGGTGTTAGGTTTTCTAAAGAATAATAGAAGAACACCCTTAAAGTTTTCCCTTCAAAAAAGACAATTCTCTTAATACTGATGCTTGTTCATTATTTTATCTCTTATTTTTAATTAGTTTTATACCAAAAATATGTCTGCATCTCTGTGTGTTTTGCTTCAGACGTATGAAAGCTGTGGGGTAACATTTAAACTGCCCGCTAGTTGTCATTGGCTCCACTCTGTGTCCTTATTGTATCACATGTCTGTGGTCCACTTTAACGACCCAATGTCTGATTGATGACTGCATTAATCAGGATAATAAATGGACTAAGAGCTCTCTGCTGCCCTGCAGTTTGTTACGTAGCATCTGTGGGATGGAGCCAATAAATGCAACAGGGTTGAACCGATCCAGAGGGATCCTAGCTCAGACTTTAAACCAGATTTTTTGGGGAGAGTTTAAACGGTGTCCAATTGTGGGGAGTTGTTGGTTACATTTAGTTGTTTAATCAGTTTGAAGAAAAAGAATTTACATCTCAGAGTAGTTTTAACGGGCAATGTTTTTGACTAT